ACCGTGGAGCCCAGCCCGGGGTCGTCACATGTGGTTGCCGCAAGCCCGCCAGCCGCTCCTTTGTCGAATCTGCCGGCAGCGCCGTTCTCAAACCCGCCGGCCGCCACTCACTCTAGCCCACCGTGTGTACATTTCATTACACCAAATACACAAAATAATGTTCTTTTTAGCAACATCATATGACCCCTTTAATACTTTTTTATTAAGTCACCGAACACTAGATGGCGAAATTGTACATGACACTTGGGTTGATTTCCCCAGATGTGTCAACAATAAACCATATATCCTCCTTACTATCCAACATGATTTTTCGTTCATTTCTATTTCTTTGACACTCCATTGATTAAAAGGTTTGTATTTTCTTGTAAATCTCATATTTTGTGTTGACACGTATTTATTTGCAACAAAACTTTTCCTAAGTAATTTCATCAGGCCTCTTTCATACAGTATGCAACACCTGATTTAATAAACGTTTCTAATGATCCAAAACACGTTTTGATCTAAAGGCTTCTATTTAAATGTTTTAAGTATAATTTTGTGGCCAAAATATAACTGTGCCTATGGACTGAAGAGTAAATGAAAAGCAGCCAACAAGTGTCCAGCATATGTGGGAACTATTTCAAGACTGCTAGAACAACGCCAAGATGCAGAGTTTGCAAAACAGCAAGAACAGAGAGATTTGTAAAGGATTAGGCCTATGTTGAAAATAGTCATAAATAAGACAGGCACTGTTCTCACTTATAAGCAAGCAGCGCAAAAATAAATAAATAATGCACAAGAGGACGGAAAGTTGAATGTTTTTTTGACTTGTGCTGAACCATGATCATATACATCTGCAAAAGTTAGCAGCAAATATACATTTCTCACATGTGACATGTATTATTAATTAAACAATTGCACTGTTTTCTATTATTAACAAAAAAGGTGCATTTTATTTGAAGAAAACCACTAAGCCACTGAATCCAAAAGGGTCATTTTGACCCCTTTTATGTTTTTGGTTCTATTCTAAACAGACACCCGTATCTCTCTCTCTCTCTGCCTATTGGCTGCTGGGGTCTATGGTTCACATGCAGCCCATCATTGGTTTTTATGAATCTCACCCCCTCCCACTCGCAGCCGTCCTCCTCTTGCCTGTGTTTAGCAGATCCATGTCCATCATCTACCTCTGGACGGTCAAGTTCGCTGGCACGTCACGTCCGCACTTGAACTTGCAGCAGCTCAGGAGGCTTCGCTTACTTTCCATTCCTGTCTTGAGTTTTTCTCCAAGAAGCCATGAAGCCCAACGCAAGCGTCTTGCCACTACACGCGCGTCTTCTGTACTATTCTCTATAATTCATGTGGGATACCCGATGCATCGCTGAAGAAGATTTTGAGCTTTGTAAAAATCGACGTGTTTCAGAAAGGCGGGGCATAGAGGAGAAACAATAATGTACAGTATGTGGAAAATAATGTGTTTCTTGAACCTTAAACCGCATAAACACATTTCATTACACCAAATACACAAAATAATGTTCTTTTTAGCAACATCATATGACCCCTTTAATACTTTTTTATTAAGTCACCGAACACTAGATGGCGAAATTGTACATGACACTTGGGTTGATTTCCCCAGATGTGTCAACAATAAACCATATATCCTCCTTACTATCCAACATGATTTTTCGTTCATTTCTATTTCTTTGACACTCCATTGATTAAAAGGTTTGTATTTTCTTGTAAATCTCATATTTTGTGTTGACACGTATTTATTTGAAACAAAACTTTTCCTAAGTAATTTCATCAGGCCTCTTTCATACAGTATGCAACACCTGATTTAATAAACGTTTCTAATGATCCAAAACACGTTTTGATCTAAAGGCTTCTATTTAAATGTTTTAAGTATAATTTTGTGGCCAAAATATAACTGTGCCTATGGACTGAAGAGTAAATGAAAAGCAGCCAACAAGTGTCCAGCATATGTGGGAACTATTTCAAGACTGCTAGAACAACGCCAAGATGCAGAGTTTGCAAAACAGCAAGAACAGAGAGATTTGTAAAGGATTAGGCCTATGTTGAAAATAGTCATAAATAAGACAGGCACTGTTCTCACTTATAAGCAAGCAGCGCAAAAATAAATAAATAATGCACAAGAGGACGGAAAGTTGAATGTTTTTTTGACTTGTGCTGAACCATGATCATATACATCTGCAAAAGTTAGCAGCAAATATACATTTCTCACATGTGACATGTATTATTAATTAAACAATTGCACTGTTTTCTATTATTAACAAAAAAGGTGCATTTTATTTGAAGAAAACCACTAAGCCACTGAATCCAAAAGGGTCATTTTGACCCCTTTTATGTTTTTGGTTCTATTCTAAACAGACACCCGTATCTCTCTCTCTCTCTGCCTATTGGCTGCTGGGGTCTATGGTTCACATGCAGCCCATCATTGGTTTTTATGAATCTCACCCCCTCCCACTCGCAGCCGTCCTCCTCTTGCCTGTGTTTAGCAGATCCATGTCCATCATCTACCTCTGGACGGTCAAGTTCGCTGGCACGTCACGTCCGCACTTGAACTTGCAGCAGCTCAGGAGGCTTCGCTTACTTTCCATTCCTGTCTTGAGTTTTTCTCCAAGAAGCCATGAAGCCCAACGCAAGCGTCTTGCCACTACACGCGCGTCTTCTGTACTATTCTCTATAATTCATGTGGGATACCCGATGCATCGCTGAAGAAGATTTTTACTCTGGACTCTCTGAAGACTCTGGCTCTTCCCAATGTGAACCCAGCTGAGACCGTGTCCAACATGTCTCGCCGCAAGCAGGGCAAACCCCAGCACTTAAGCAAACGGGAGTTTTCGCGTAAGTTCACGGGGAGTTCTTCTTTTTCTTTCTTGATAGTTTATCAAAAATGCATTTCATATAAATACGCTTTTTTTTAATAGAGTTCACGAAGGTGCGTCTCTTAAGATGGAACGAAGCGCGTTTTGCTGTTGAGTTACGCTTCGCAATGATCCGCAACGCGTGAAGGTTGATTATGCATTTGTGTGTATATATGCGTGTGTATGGAGTAAATTAAGCGTAATTTGTTAGCATTTAAATCATTTTACAAGGAAAATTCAGCTCTAAGTTCACTTTCCCTTGAGATATTTTAACAGCCCAAACTAGAGCTTCCCTTGGGCTTTAATGTTAGGCTTTAAATTAACTGTTAAATTTGTTTTGTATCAGCCTACGATTATTACTTTTTTAATTATGGGTAGGCTAGCATGTAATGTTTCTTTTCAAAAACTAAAGAAGTGCATATTAATGCTGATTTCAGAAAGTGTTTTTTTTTTCTTCTCAACTTCCTCCTTTGGTTCTACGATTTTCAAGATTTGAAACGGGAATATAAATAATGAAGGATTGTTATTCTGTGAAAGAATATTTGCTATTAAGTGAAAAACAGTTTATGTTAGTTTTATCCTTGGCATTGGATATACAAACCTGGTGTTCCGGGCCAAAACCTTACAACATGAAGGCCATTATAAATGAGAAAATCTACATGCACTCTATGGGAAGTTTACACTTGATCTATTAGAGTTTGGTTTTGTGCCTTTATTTAAATCGCGTTTGAATGTGTTCTAAGAGCACCGATACGCATACGTAACACGAGTTGCAATGTGTATCCGCTAGGGGGCAGAACATTAACAAATGATGGTCCATTCAAGATGAGACACTACTAGGTGAACTTGAACTTGAGCCAAGCCTTCTCTCGTTTATTAAGTGTACCCACACATCTCCCGTTTAATATACATTTACAGTGTTTTTTATGAAAACATTGGTTTAGAGGACATGTGGGTCAATGACAAACTATGTCAGAGATGATAAAAAGGAGAAATCTGTTTAAGATCTAGTTTAAAACACATGTGCCATGCTCTTAGATATGTAATCTTTGTATTCATGTTGATTTAAAAAAAAAAATGGCTTAAAATGCTAAGAAAGTAGCAATTAAACTACCTTCCTAGTATACACAAGGGTATACACATTTTTTTTATATATATATATATTTTACATAATCAGATTAAAAAACTGATGTCGTTGACCCATATGTATTTTTGGTCATTGTGTTTATCATGTTGAAAAAAGTATAAAATATTAAATCATTTGAAAAAATGGTTTAACAGTGGTAGTGATTTTGATGTTTTATTTTCCAAATGTTATGTTTGCAAAATCTCCCGATGCTTCATAAGAGGTGTGAATTACACCTGTTCGTCCAGTGCACGGTCTGATCTAAGGCTTTGTTCCAGTTCATAATGATAACACAGAACTGTGCATCTTCCAAGCACGGCTTGAAAGAAGAAGAAAAAAGCTGTAAAAGAGGCTTGATTCAAATACTGGAGCATGTTTTTAGTTTTCGTAAGAAACTCATGTATTGTCGCCCCCACCTTTTGTCCCACATGACCTGACACAGAATTAGGGTTAACCTACCACCGATGGCAACAATCGCCCTCAGTCCAGTTCAGACGCATGATGTGGTTTTGATTGCTCTTTCATATGTTCTGGCTCTCCTTCTGGGAACTACCCCACATACTCCCATCAATAGCTAACCTCAGTTCAGAGGATTCCAGCACTTTTAACTAAATGGGTTCCAATCATCTTGAAGTCAAATTAGAATCTATTTTTTGATTCTCTGAGGTGTTGGGTTCATTAAGACGTGAGATTGGCAGGATAATGAACAGGGTCATGCAACTAAAGCGAGCAACCCCCTCCTCTTTACCATTACTGGGCAACCACTGTTTTTCTCTCTGTCTTTGGTTTCTCATCTTCTCTGCATCGGCCTTACATTTACTGTCAGTATTCCTCTGATAGAAGTGTCAGCATTTCAATAATAGATAAATATCGGGAACGTTCTACCCAACTAAAACTGTAAAATCAGTCGATATGACATATAACAACTCTAACACTAAATTTCAACACCTCTTCCATTTATATGGAAATGAATATAATGACCACTTATGGTACATATATAATTAGCACTTATCAAGTCATTAACAGGTTTCAGTATGGATATTACAGGAAGTTGTTCTTCTATCTCTCACACCTCCCTTTCTGCATTTCTCCTACCATAGCCGAGCCCGTGACGGCAGATATCCCAGAGGACGGGGAAAGCCATCCCGGATCGGAACCATCCACCCCTAAAGGGGATCAGGACCTCCTCACTTGTGGTCAGTGCCGCTCCAGGTTTCCTTTGGCTGACATCCTGGTGTTCATCGAGCACAAACGCAGGCAGTGTCAAGGCCGCCTATGCATGGGCAAAGATTCAGACCTGCCACCGTCGCCTCCACCCGCAGGCCTGCGGCGAGCCTGCGTCCCAGTGGAGGTGGCAGTTCAAGTTTCGCCCCATGGAGAGGAGCATTTAGCCTCCACGCCGCATGGATTACGGCCCAAGCAGGAGAATTTAACAGGTAGAGTACCAGATGTTTGGGTTGGAGAAAATCTATGAGAGAGTTTGCAAAGTCGAAACTTCTAATTGGAAGGCCTTGGACGGATAACACGTTTCTACCGATAGCTCATGGTTTTACAGCTTTCCCACTTTCCAAGTTTGGTCCGTTTCAGGAAAAAAAAAAAGTACTTGACTTTATAGTAGATGAAAATAGTGTTCTTGCTGTCAGTATGAATGGATATTCTCTCAGTTCTCTCATGTGGCTTTCGCAGATGTTGCTGCGTTTAGTGTGGTTTTCACAAGGTCATATCTCACTCCAGTAAATGTATAGCTGCAGAGTGGTACATTCATGCTGATAAAAAAGAAAAGAAAATCATTTTCAGCTGTCCAAGACAGGGCCTGCCATAGATTGTTAGTGATTCTAGTCATTTTTATAATTATGAGAGAGCGTTTCCCTTTGCGCTGACCGCAAAGTATCTGGAAAGAAGAAAAATATGCAGCACATATTATGGTATTATGTAGCAATTATGCATTTACGGTACCTCTGCTAGTATGCAAATTAATATTTTAGGCTTGCACTTTAAAATAGTTTCCACTGGGATGCTGTTATCAGCTGGGATTGTGGCAGACAAAGTTTTGTTTGAATTACGATTACATTATAATTTTTGCAAGTTGCTGTTTGTCTTGAGGTCATATGAGGATGAGGTATGTTTTATTTTCTTTTACATTTGATGGATTAAAAAGTATGGAGACAATTTATTTTACAGTAGGTATATTTGCATACATTTTCATCATGAATCCAGTCCGATTTCAGATTGTGAGGTTCTGTTTATATGAAGCCTAAACGTTCACATATTCGTTTAAATGTGCATTACATGTATTCTGAACAAAACTTCAGCACATGCAAACCGGAGAAAGCAACTGTGATATTATCACCAGATCTAGCATGAACATAACTGTCATTTTTGCCATGGTGTAAATACTCATTCTCATCCATTGAACTCACATTCGTATGACATAAAATGTATGTAAACACAAGGAATTTTTCAGTTTCAGAACAAGCTCAGTCAGTCAACTGAGGTTTATACATAAAGGCGTTTCAATCTGATTGAGCAGTCAATCTGATTATAAATGTATAATTTGGGTGCATGTGTCCTTGTTACATGTTCTATAGTAATAACAGTAGATTATGCTGTAACCTAACCCTAATCTAACCCTTTAGTAAGAACATGTTGGTGATTAATAGTACTTAATTGTATGATTAATTACACTGTATCAAGGACAACATAAAATAAAGTGCAACCGAAAGTATTTTTTATGTACGCCTCGTAGTATCTCTCAGGACGTTCAGTGTTTGCCTGTCCCGCTCCAGACAGGTCGCACGCTTTCACCGTTACATGTCAAGCACATGCGTGATCTCCAGTCTGCGGTCGCGTCATGCAAGCAGATGTCCGTCACAACAGATGGAATTCTGTATCGGCTGTAAATGGTGAATCCGTTAAAGGTTCACGCTTGGAGAAATTTGCATGATAAACAATTTAAGATATGCATGTGGACACAGCAGCTTTTTTAATACCCCCCTTAACAACACCCCATCACACCCCCATTTTATTCAAGTCTGAATGCCCCCGAGCAGCCAGACGATGAGCTCAGGCAATAAACCCTTCTGCAGACCTCCCTCCCCTGCCCCCTTATCTGCTATCTCTCTAGGGTTATTTTCTTAAGTACATCCATGTGAAGCCATTTTCTCTAAGGCTGATATAGGTGATCCCGCCTCGTATTGTTGTTTAATAAGCGTTGTACCGTCTCCTGGTCCCTACAGACTTCGGTCTTCATCATGCAAACACAAAGAGAACAGCTTTGATGTTATATTTTGTTAACTGTTATATTTTATTGTGCAGATCATATTTACATTGCACGTTAACTGCGTGTAACTACTAAATTGCGATGAAATGGTCTCTTTCTGTTATATTATCCGGTGTCTTCTGGCGTTCTTGGCCTTGGTGTCTTGATGTCTTTGGCACTGGTCCACTATTCTCTTACCGGAGAGAGTTATGGATCATTAGCTGGAGGAGAGCAAGTGGAACGGGAGACAGGAAGTTTGGGGATCCCCAATAGTGCACCATTACTGAGGAGCTTTACAGGCTTCGCTCAAAAAATAAAAATCTGAAATGACAAATCTTTTTAATATCTCAATATTTTTTGTCGTACACAGCAAAGAAAATAAATCTCTAGTCTAGATCTCAACAATGTCTTTAATTGTACTCAAAACATTTCTCATTGAATTGTTCAAGATCGAATTATATGAGCTGCTATCCACATTCATTTCTTAGCGCTATATTCTTAGTTTGTCTAAAATGGACTCATTGATCTCAAATTGTATTTCTTTAAATGATTTTTAAGAGAAACATGTGAGACAAAGACAACTAAACTCAGCAACATTTAGCTTTGTGCAGTTACGTTTTGTTGAGTAGTTTGATGCTGATAGTGATTGAATATTGTTTCTTTAATAAGTCATAGAAAAAAGTGGCTGATTGGTTTATTTATGAGAATCTGAGCAAGAGTGTATGTGTCTGTGTCTGTGTGTGGTTTGCCGAGCCTGTCTCGACGCAACATGACAGCGCGTTTGACTTGGCAGACACTGCCAAGGGGTTCCCTTTCAGTGGGCATATGGCAGGACATTGGCACAGAGCAGGCGGGAATGTGTATTGTGGTGAGGTTTATATATTTGTAGCTGACATGGCATTTCAAGAGCTAACAGCAGTGGCCTGCAGTGTGACATGCATTCTATTTTGTATTTTTACATTCTTGTATAACTATTAAACATGCAAGTTTGTGACCTCATTAATTGAGGGACTACATGGAACATTAGTACTATTAAAAATTCCATTTGCCACAACACAGCAAAGTGAAAAAAAACTAATAAATGCTTAAAATAATAATATAATAACATTAAAATGAAGGCATTTATAGCATGTAAAATATACAGTTTGTCTTATTCATATACATATACAGTGCATTGAAGCAAATTTTGTTTGCATAACAGAGCTTGCATGAAAACATTTATTGTAGACACACATGCACACATCTCCAAAAGGTTTACTGACTGTGTTTTGGCACACAACTCTTTCAGCATTAAGCTATGCAATCATCAGATCTGTCAGGAGCATATGATATTCTGACTCACCTGTGTGTGCGTTTGTGTACAGATGTGTTTGTGTGTGAGTGTGGCCAGCCAGCTGAACTGTAGACACTTCTATTTAGTGTTTGCTGTGGGAATACAAAACTGCCTGCAGCACTGTGTTGATATATTGTAGGTAATATAAAATATACAGTACATGCTTTATACTGTACTACATTTGATTTGGCTTTATTGTTCACAAAAAACATCGAACATGGGTATAAAGCCATAAAAATGTGCAGTGTAAAGAAAATTAGTTATGAAAAATGGGTAAATGTGTTCTTCTAATAATCTATTTATTTCCTCTAAAAGAAAATATTTTACCCATGCATTAGTGTGTTTTTTAATGATGTGCAGATCATTTAGAGAAAAATGTGTTGCTCTTCTGATTCTGGGTATTTCCAGGACAAGGCATTGTTATAACATGGTGGACTCAATATATGTGTGTGTGGTCTGCAGCTGGTGTGTCTTATCTGTCATATACATATACAGTGCATTGAAGCAAATTTTGTTTGCATAACAGAGCTTGCATGAAAACATTTATTGTAGACACACATGCACACATCTCCAAAAGGTTTACTGACTGTGTTTTGGCACACAACTCTTTCAGCATTAAGCTATGCAATCATCAGATCTGTCAGGAGCATATGATATTCTGACTCACCTGTGTGTGCGTTTGTGTACAGATGTGTTTGTGTGTGAGTGTGGCCAGCCAGCTGAACTGTAGACACTTCTATTTAGTGTTTGCTGTGGGAATACAAAACTGCCTGCAGCACTGTGTTGATATATTGTAGGTAATATAAAATATACAGTACATGCTTTATACTGTACTACATTTGATTTGGCTTTATTGTTCACAAAAAACATCGAACATGGGTATAAAGCCATAAAAATGTGCAGTGTAAAGAAAATTAGTTATGAAAAATGGGTAAATGTGTTCTTCTAATAATCTATTTATTTCCTCTAAAAGAAAATATTTTACCCATGCATTAGTGTGTTTTTTAATGATGTGCAGATCATTTAGAGAAAAATGTGTTGCTCTTCTGATTCTGGGTATTTCCAGGACAAGGCATTGTTATAACATGGTGGACTCAATATATGTGTGTGTGGTCTGCAGCTGGTGTGTCTTATCTGTGTTCTATAGAATGAGATAAAGACCCAAGAGGCCCCTCACTGTCTAGGGTCATGGTTCCCTGAAAGTCTCTCTCTCTCTTGTTGTCTGTCTCCATCTAGATTTTATTTTTTACCTCTTTATTCACGCTTTTGCATGCAAACTCAATTTCTTTCGGGTCAGTTGGTTGCAGTGCAGTTGAACGACATCTGTAGTTTTGCTACACTCTGAAATAGAACACATTTTGATGCAGGGAGGAAAGTCAACATCAATGCACATCTGTAAAGACACTTAAGACTCTTAAATCAGGTTTGACTCTGAGCGTTGGACTTAGACAATGAATAGGAGGGCAAATAATAATTTAATAATATGTCAAGACATCAGCTGTGTAAAGCACAATTCAAGTAGTTCCGTAAAGAGCGGAATTATTTGAACTTGAGTATTTAGTTTTGCTCTTTTACTGCAATAGATGTAACAAAATGTTTAGTCTTTTATCTTGGGAAACATTCTCTCTCTCTCTCTCTCTCTCTCTCTCTCTCTCTCTCTCTCTCTCTCTCTCTCTCTCTCTCTCTCTCTCTCTCTCTCTCTCTCTCTCTCTCTCTCTCTCTCTCTCTCTCTCTCTCTCTCTCTCTCTCTCTCTCTCTCTCTCTCTCTCTCTCTCTCTCTGAATCTCACTGATAATATTCTGTGGCTCATTTGAATTTGAAGCACTTCTTTAATCTTCAAAGCC